CCCTAAAACGTCCCCATGCTACCCTTTGTGTACCCTGGTAGCCACTGTTCTTGGTCTCTACAATTTTGCCTTTTCCAGAATATCAGATAAATAGAACCATACAGTATGATCTCTTTGTGTCTGGTTTCTTTCTTTCTTTTTTTAAAAATTGATTTTGGAGAGGGAGGGAGGAAGAGATAGAGAAACATTCATGAGAGAATCATTGATTGCCCCCCTCCCCCATTCACCCCAACGAGGACCAAACCTGCAACCTGGGCATGTGCCCTAACCAGGAATTGAAGCTGCGACCTTCCTGTGAATGGGACAAGGCTCCAACCAGCTGAGCCACACTGACCAGGGCTTGTGTATGGTTTCTTTTGCTCAGCATAATATTTTGAGATTCTTCCATGATGTTGCATGTATCAGTAGTTTGTTCCTGTTTTTTTTGCTGCCTAGTAGTCCATTGTGTGGCTGTACTACAGTTTGTTTTTCATTTTGATGTTTTTTATACAGGCATTTTGGATAAAATTGACATTGAAATAAACAAATTTTAACTCCACACTTTTGAGGAATGGATACAACCATGTAACTCATACCCACGAATGGATACAACCATGTAACTCATACCCACGAGAAAGAGAAAAGCAACCTGACATCCAGGAGCTGCCTGACCCTTACAGCTGGCCTTGGCATGTTTGAAGTTGGCCTGGTGCTCACAGTGAGGACTGTCCTTCTCCTGTTAGACATAAACAATATCATCAAACATCAACATCAGAACAAAGTCATTTTGTGACTCTGATAAAGTAGACAAAAATCAAGACCACTTTATAGTCTTACCCAAGCACAGACAAAAACAAGTTCACTGTGCAAACCACTGAAATATAAAACATCCTCCTCCCCCAGCTAATAAGTGACTGCTGCTTCTCTACCAGTTATAGTTTAGCTCATCCATTCCTCCCTCCTAAGGGAGATTTTTTAAAAAGATACTCAATCACCTGCTTCTTGATAGCATCCAATGCAGAGCAAAGCCGTGCTTCCTAAACGCTCCCCCAAATCACCTAACAAACCAAATCCTAAAATGAGTCATTCTTAACACTTTCTTACTGAGACTCCATTCTTCTCCATGGTGTGTGTTCTCCCTCATTGCAAAGAGCAAAAAAAAAATGTAACCTTATTCAACTAGTGCAGGTATATTCTTGGTTTTGGGCTGGAGACTACTGACACTCCATCAAGATACAGCACATTTCATGTTCCCATAAAATCCTCTCAGTCCCTTCCCATTAATCCGCCCACTATCACAGATGGATATCTGTGTTGTTTGGCTGTTGTGAACACAGCTGCTGTGAACATTTCATGTAAGTATTTTGTAGCATATGTTCATTTTCCCTAGGAGTGTTAGTTTCCTATTGCAGCTGTAACAAGTTATTACAAACTTAGTGACATAAAGCAACCCAACTTTATTAGCTTACAATTCTAATGGTCAGAAGTCCAAAATGTATCAGCAGGGCAGCTTTGGGGAGAATCTGTTTTCTTGCCTTTTCTAGAAGCCACTGCATTCCATGACCTCTTTCTCCAACTTAAAGCCAGCAGGGTAGCATCTTCAAATCTCTCTGACCTCTGCTTCTGTCATCACATCTCTTTTTGCCTCTGACTCTTCTGTTTCCCTCTTTCCCTTACAAGACCCATATGATTACCTTGAGCCCACCAAGATCATACAGGATAATGTTCCCCTTCTTGAAATCCTTAATCACACCTGCAAAGTCCCTTTTCCCATGTAGGGTAATGTATTTACCGGTTCTGGGAATTATGATATGATGTGGACATCTTTGGGGGGCTAGTATTCTGCCTATCACACTGGGTAAAACCCCCAGGAGTGGAATTGCTTGGTTACTAGGTAGATATATGTTTAACTTTATATTAGACATTGCCAAACATTTCTCCAAAGTATTTGCACTATTTTATGTTCTCAACAGCAACGTATGAGAGTTCATAACTCAACATCCTCACCAACATTAGATACTGTCAGCCATACTAATAGAATTTCCAGTATCACTACAGTAAGTCAGTCATTCCTTAAAGTTGTCAATAGGTTCTGTGACTTTAAGTGAAGCAACATATAACAAAACCAATTTTACCATAGGCTAATTGATATAAACAATAGTTAAGTTCCTTTGGCACCTCAGCAATGTTATAATGAAAGGATGGTATTTGAGGACCTGCTGTCCTCTTGCACTTTGGGGCAGTAAGTAAAAGAAGGGTTACTTGAACACAAGCACTGCGATACCAGGAGTTGATCTGATAACCAGACAGCCACTAAGTGACTAGCAGAGGATAGTGTGTACAGCGTGGAGATGCTGGATGAAGGGATGATGCATGTTCTGAAGGCAGGCAATTTAAAACTTATGAATTTATTTCTGGAATTTCCATTTAATATTTTTGGAACACAGTTGACTATAGGTAAATGAGACTATGGAAAGCAAAACCATGGATAAGCAGGAGACTACTGTATAATGTATTAATCAATTTAAATCTAGTATTTACCCACTGTCTTCCAGGAAAGTCTGGGATCCCTTGGTTAACATTTCGTGAACAGGATAAAATAATTATTACTACTAAGATGAGGGATCTGGGAGTAGTCTTGTGGGCTCTTGCAACTAAACAGGCCCACAAAAGCTGGGGAAGGAATTAGAAACCAACAAAAACCTCCATCCGTCTATTCAATCAACATTTACTGAGCTCTTATTTTGAACAAGGCCTTGTACTAGGAGATGGGGATAGAAGGTAAATGACACAAGACTGAAACCAGCAATGCCTTTTGCGATTCTGCTCTCAACTGTAACAAAGTGGCAGATAGTACAGTGTAGCTGTCTAGCTGCTGCTGTGATTGTATTCCTACAACTTTTCTACAAAGGCTTGGCAACTGGCAGCAAGTGCCACAGATTCCTACCCCATGGATCTGCCTATCAGAATTTATCTTGAGGAACTATTTGAGATGTGGACAAGGACTTATGTACAGGGTTGTTCATTGCTGTTCTAAAGAAATAGAGGATACAACAACCTAAGCTTTTAACAGTGGGAAATAGGAACATGATTATTCCTTACCCGAGGATATTTTTCTATTTATCATCAGATAGAGTGGAGGGGGGGGGGGGGAGACAGAAAGAAACATTGATGTGATAGAGCTACATTGACTGGTTGCCCCCCACGACCTGGTTGCACCCCCAGGGCCAGGGACAAACCACAACTGAAGTATGTGCCTTTGACTGGAATCAAACCCAAGACTCATTGGTCCACGGGCTGATGCTCTAACCGCTGAGTAAAGGTATATCCCTATGATGGACTATTAGGTGGTAATTAGAAATGGTATTTAAAAATAACTCAATGTGGGGGAAAGACCAGAAAAAAAGTGGGACAGCCCTGGCTAGTTTGGCTCAGCAGTAGAGCTTCAGCCCTAGGACCAATGAGTCAAGGGTTTGATTCCGGTCAAGGGCAGGTACCTAGGTTGCAGTTCATCTCCTGCCCTGGCTAGGCTTGTGAGGGAGGCAACCAGTCAATGTGTCTCTCTCATGTTGATGTTTCTCTCTCTCCCTTTCTCTCCCTCTCTCCCCCTCCCACTCTGTCTGAAGATAAATAGAAAAATATCCTCGGGTGAAGATTAAAAAAAAAAAAAGTAGGACAGGTGTCTACAGAAGGTGTTCAAAGATATTCATAATTTAGTATTTTTAGATCCTCTATATTTTTTTTCAAATTTTTGACAATGTGCATGTTATATATAGTATTTCTACTAATCAGAACTTTTGGGTTTTTTCCCTTTTTTTTCAAATTAGACCTAATGGCAGAGTTAAAGCTAGAAAGACAACCAAAATGACCAAGATTTGGGGAATTCTATTATGAGGACTGACCAAAATTAACTGAAATTCCACATCTTATGTGACAAGGGTTTTGTGACATGTCAATAATATTAGTTGCAATATGCTGAATGCGTACTATGTGCCAGGTGCCAAGTAGGTTTATTATCTCTATTTTACAAAGGAAAATAAATGATATAATTGAGATTCCAACCTAGATTGTTTAGTTTCAAATCCTGATCTTTTATTATCATGCTAAATACAAGCAAATTTAAAAAGGGTAATAAGCAATTCACAGACAAATCCTACACAGGATTTGCACTGCATCACAGGTCTGCACTGCTGATAACATTCACAGATCTTACTCCATTTTAAGAGTGTCTGGCTGTATATCCTTCCTTGGAGAATCTGACATCCACAATATATATTCCATTTATTGCCAGAAATGATGATGCCTTATGATGCTTTGCATTATATGTGCTCACACACACACCTCCCTCCCTCCCCTCGTGTTTACCTTCAGAGGAAGCATTTACTTTATTGTACAACAAAGAATCGCAGGATCAACATTTGTTCTTTCTAATGGATTACAAATCAGCCCGTAAGACTTCCAGAGATTGTGGAGGAGGTGAAACGTGCCCCGCCCTCCCAACATATCCTCCACCCTGCGCCGTTTCCTTGTGGTACTTAATCCCACACATCTCGGGTTGCACTCTCGTGGCGTTCAATTGCATCCCACTTTCCCCCCAGACCTTACCCCTCACCCCCTCCCAGATGGACTGGCAGGGTCAAGGCCCGGCGGCCTGACCTTGGGTCATCTTCGGCCGCGGACTCACGGTGTGACCTTGGGCAAGTCCCGCTTCCCCCTCCGCAGAGCCGCGCGGCTGGATAGCGGCGTCCCCACCCTGGCCGTTCTTCAGCGGAGCCGGGCAGCCGCGCTCCTGCATTCTTTTCTCCCGGGGAATCTCTCAGCGCGCGCCCCACCTTCCCCAACCCTACGCTCCTGGCGTAGAGGCCACCTGGAGCCGCGCGGCCCTCTCGTTCCAGACATTCGTTTACGCCGCGCGCTCGGGGAGGGCGCGATTCCCGAACGGCTTGCGCCGCGAGCGCGTGGCCGTCCCGCAGGCCGGCACGGCCTTACGCCGCTGACGCAGCGCGCCCAAGATGGCGGCGCGGTCGTCGGGGGTGTTGGCAGCAGAGGGGGCGGCGGCCGTGGCGGCAGTGGGGACGACAGCCGTGGCGGCGGCACGGGGTCTGGGACGGGGGGAATGAGGAGGCCGCGGCGGGCCAGCGGCGCAGCCGTGTAGCGGAGGAGCAGCTTCCCCTCTCTGCTTCCCTTGGCCGAGCCGGGGGCGCGCGCGCGCGCGGCCGTCCGGAGAGGGCTCCCCACCCTCTACTCCAGCGACCCGCACCGCACCCCCACCCGGGCCGGAGGATGATGAAGCTCAAGTCGAACCAGACCCGCACCTATGACGGTGACGGCTACAAGAAGCGGGCCGCGTGCCTGTGTTTCCGCAGCGAGAGCGAAGAAGAGGTGAGGCGCTGGGCGGGGGTCCCCGGGGTCGGCGGCCACCTCGGGCCGAGGCGCGGGGAGTGCGGCCGTCGGGGGAGGGTGTGCCCGGGCCCCGGGCAGGACTGCTGGGCTCGGCCCGAGTGAAGTTCCGACGGGATTTTCTCCGGCGAAGAAGAGGGGGAAGGAAAAAGGATGGGGGGTGGAGGGGAAGTGGGTCTGCGCGTGGCCATTGGCACGGGCTGGGCGGAGAGGGACACCCGCCTGCGGCCGGGGCACTTCCCAGCCGGCCGCCTGTCACTGCGGAGAGGGCAGTGGCTGGGGAAGAGTGTGTGGTTTTCGGTCCAGGCCTCCGGCTTCGGATCCAGGAAGGGCAGTTCCGCACTTGTCAGCCCAGCACATGTGTGCAGAGGCTGCCGTGCACGAGGCGCAGGCCGCCCCTTTGTGGTCGAGAAGTCGTCCACTTCATTGGCAGGTTTGGGGTTTGCCCAGGGACTGTGTGTGTCTGTGAGCCCGGGGCGGGGGCGAGGGCGAGGGGGTCTTAGTAAGATTTAGGGCGTAGTACCAAAGCCTATAAAGCCATTCGTTTATTTTATAATATGCTGGGTAGCCCTTTTGGTGTAACCTGAGAGGAAAGGATATTTGATAACATAATCTTCGAGGGTTGAAAAATTTTCATTTTAATTCGGAAGGCCAAAAGCGATATTTAGGATCCTTGCCCTGACATTCCTTTAGGGCTCTATACATGGCCCTTGGGATTAAATTTGCTAGCAAAATAGAAATGCTTTGAATCAGTTTCTTTTTGCATAGGGTACTTAAAAAAAAAAAATCTCAGCCTCTCAAAGCCCTTTCTGTGGCGATAAAGGGAATTCAGAGAAGGAACATGTTTTGTAAATGCACAAAGAATCACACTTTGGAAATTCTTAAGATGCCTGTGGGAACGCATTTCTTTCAAGTGCATGGTGGCAAAATGGCAGTTAAACTGGAAACAATGAAGGACAGTGAAATTCAATATGTTATAGTCTGGCATTCAGCAGTGGACTATGGTGGATACAGTGCATCGTTTTGAAATGGGGGAAAGTAATTTGACCCGTTAGTTATGAAAAGAAGCTATGATGAAAGAGACAGATGGATTGGCAGGAGTGTCTGTCCAGAGATATTAAGAGGAAGTAGGAATTTAAATTATTGCGTGGAAAAAAAAAAAAAACCACTCATTGTGCTGTTAAGGAATCGTGTGTTCCCGTGTGTGTTCCCTTTCAGCAAAACAGAAGGAAATGGATTTGGAAACGAATACTTTGTGTCCTAGCATGTGTTATAATAGTCCCCCAAACAGATGCATTATAATAGGAATACTAAGCAGGGCTATGCTGTAAATTAGGTACTGTTTTGGAATACATACTTGAGTAAAGTAAAATTATTGGTGGTGTTTAATGCGCCACAGGCATTGTTCTCTTCATTGTTATATCATATTATGGGAAATCATATGGGATCACAAGATGTTAACTGGATGGAAAACTAATTAGCATAATACATCTCACTACAGTACTGTGGTTAAGTCTGTGAGCACCCCAATTATAAGTAGAAGGGTATATAATTCAGTTGTATGCATGATTTTATTTGTTTAAAAAAGTCATACTAGAAATTGAGAACATGTGAGCATTTTGGTTAAATGGGAAACACTTTATAGATCATAAGCAAACTAACAAAGATTTGATTTTCCGTTTTCTGTTAAAGTTTTATTATTTACTGACATTAGTAGCATTAATGTTAATAGATCTGACTGATCATGGAGTTCCCTCTACTGAATTTCTTTTTTTTTAGTATGTTTTGTTGTTGTTCTACTGAATTTCTTTTTGAGCATTGGTTAATGAGCAGAAGATTCATGCAAATCTTTAATTATGGATTCATTGGATGTGACAGCTAATGCTTAGGAAGAACAAGAAAACTAATGAAATGAGCCCATTTTAGACTTGTTCAGTTCGATTAAACAAGTGTGTATTAAGAGCCTACGATGGGTGCAAAACTGTAATGTGGGATAAACATCCCTCCCTGCCCCCCAAATATGAGTAGTGTTAGATGGGGTCCCTTAATTGGGAGAGATTTTATTTTATTTTTTAATCCTCACCCGAGGATATTTTTCCATTTATCTTCAGATACAGCGGGAGGGAGAGAAGGAGAAAAAGAGAGAGAAACATTGATTGGTTGCCACCTGCATGACTCCAACTGGGGCCGGGGACCAACCGCAACCAAGGTACGTGCCCTTGTTGGCTGGAATTGAACCCGAGACTCTTAGGTCCGTGGGCCTAACCACAGAGCCAAACTGGCCAGGGCAATTGGGAGAGATTTTAGACCAGAAATAATCTCTAGGGTGCTGCTCAACTTTCAGATTATCTAACTGTGTTGGATGGGAAGAATTTGTTAGTTTCAGAACTTTTATGTTTTTAATAGAAGTGCTAGAAACTGGAAGTATTAGCTGACACATTGTGGGAATGTGAAACTCCAATTCAACGGGATGTTCAACCCAATTTTATTTTATTTATTTATTTATTCATTTATTTTTTTATCCTCACCCGAGGACATTTTTCCATTTTTTTGTTCAGTTAGAGTGGGAGGGGGAGAGAGAGAGAGAGAGAAACATTGACGTGAAAGGGACACATCGAGTGGTTGCCACCCCCATGACCAACCAGGGCCGGGGACAAACTGTAACCGAGGTACACACCCTCAGCAGGAACCGAACCCAGGTCTCTCTGGACCACAGGCCGATGCTCTAACTGGCCAGGGCCCCAATTTTATTTATTTTTATTTATTTATTTATTTATTTAATTAATTAATTTATTTTTGTTACAGATGTTTCTCCATTTCCCTCCCACTGATATCCGCCTCCCCCTCCCTCCCTGCCCTGTTCCCAGCTTTGTTGTCCATGTCCATTGTTCATGCATACATGCATATAAGTTCTGTGGTTTATCCAATTTTATTTTTTAATTGGCATTAATTATTTGAATCAAGATAGAATAGTTTAGCTCTGGTGCAGTAGCTCAGTTGGTTAGAGTGTTGACCTGATAGGCCAAGGTTGTGGGATACATCCCTGGTCAGGGCACATGAAAGAGTCAGGTCAGCTAATGAATGCATAAATGAGTAGTATGATGAATTGATGTTTCTCTCTCTCACCTTCCCTCTCCCCCCCAAAAAATCAATAAATAAAAAATTAAGAAAAAAAGAGTAGTTTACAGAATATGGTTAGCATTAATACAGTAGTAGTAATGTAAGTATAAATAGGACCCTGCTTGATAAATATAATTAACCAACATCAGGAAACAAATATAGTATAACAAAAAAGAGGTGGAAAATATTAGCAGATAATAGACCATGAATCAAACCTTCTAACATTCTGTTTTTATCAGCTCTAGAGGATTTATTTATAGGCCAGGTGAAATACTAATCCCAGTATTTCAGAATGTGTGAACATATTCAGCAAGTTTACCAAGCAAGTTTATTGAATGTCAGGTTCTGTGATACAGTTATGAAGGCAACAGACATGCAGGGAACTTAGAGTCTAGTGGGAAAGATGGAAGAGCAAACAGACCCAACAACATGATGAAAACAAGTTTCCTTTCCTTCAAACCTTTGGTTACTTTTCCTGTTGATAAACAAAAAATTCATAGCAGGAAAATTTCCCCACTTACAAATTTTACTAATTGTGATTAACATTTTGATAAATTAAAATCTTTAAGTTTGGTGTGTTCATGATAACTAACATTTATTACAGTACCTTGAACCTGATGCACAGTGAACATTTTCTTACCGAACCTACACTTTAACCAACTTGATGCACTGAACACTTGCTGTTACTGTGTGAATTATGGGTCTGATATATCTCGACCATGTGGCTTCCCAACCAGTCTGTGCTTACAAAGAGTCAGTTGTATTTATTTCTATATCTGTTCATGTTCATGGTACTTGTTATTGTAATTATCTAGTGTAATTAAATTTGATGTATGCCAGTGACATTTGAATGAAAAAAGAATGGTTTTGTGAGCATTTCAAATGCTTTGGAATGATTCGATAATTTCATTTCACTAAAAGAAATTACTGCTCAATTATGTGGATAAACAAACTGAAAAAGATAGGGAGGGAGTCTTAAAAGTCTGGAAAGACTGTGCATAATCACTTCATGACAATTTTTAGATTTTTATTCATATATATTGCAAACATAGGTCATACACGGTGGATGTGGTATATGAAAGAAAGACAAGTTGCAATTGATCAGTAGACCCACACTCAAGACAAAAATCTGGGACCTACAAACAAAGATGGGCAAAAAATATATATATTTATACATACACACACACACACACACACACACACACTCACATACACTCTTTAATCCTCACCTGAGGATATTTTTTTAAAAATTGACTTTAGAGAGGGGAAAGGAGAGAGAGAAACATTGACTTGTGAGAGAAACATTGATAGTTGCCTCCCGTTTGCACCCCAACAGGGGATCGAACCCACAATCTAGGTATATTCCCTAACCAGGAATTGAACCTGAAACCTTTTAATGTATGGGACGACACTCCAACCAACTGAACCACCCAGCTAGGGCTGCATTTATTTATTTATTTATTTATTTATTTATTAATTATTTTGAGAGAGAGAGAAACATCAAATCATCTGCCTCTTGCTCGCTCCCTGCAAGGGATCTAGCCCCAAACCCAGGCATGTGCCCTGACTGAGAATTGAACTGGCAACCTTTTGGTGCATGGGACAATACCCCACCAACTGAGCCACACTGGCCCAGGCTACATTTATATTTTTAATCTGCCACGTCTTCCAATTAATATTTGATCACAAACAGTATAGAAGACAAACTCACTTCTTGTGTAAGATTTTGTTACACCAGATTGGGTAATATGACATTCATCTTTGTCATATTCAACTTTGGCCCTCCTAAATTACTTCCAGTGAGATTTTTTTCCTCTTCCCCCACTTCTTTCCATTTCTGGAGCTTCTATGATGACAGAAGT